CCACCGGCGCTACCGGTTCAGTGAACCGGATAGAACCGGAGGGGATTTCACCGCTGCCTGTGGGAAAGTGAACTTTAGTTATGGGTGAAAGGACTAACTGCATGTCGAAAAATATAAACTTGTGTCATCAAGGCTTTTACAGGTGTGTAAAAATGTAGAAATTCATATGGTTCATTGAGTGATTATTTACTTATATCTTTTTTATTTATCACATTTATATAGTCAACCATCTCACCTATGTGAGTCTGAGTGGTGTATAAAAAATAATGTAACAGAGATGATCTTCAAGGAAAAATAGTTCTATGTTCAGAATGAATGTAGAAAAATCTATTCTGTTAGATGACATGAATGGGAATAAGATCACAAAGGTTGAAAGAGGTGGAAAGTTAATTAAGTTGAAAGATTTTAAGGTAAAAATGAAACAAGTTGAAACATAATGTTAAGAATTTTAAAATATGATGGGAATTTTGAGGAATATATGCAATAAAGGGAGAGAAAAACAGGGATGCCTGGACACCATAGAAAAAAGCACTGAATTGAAAATGAATATAGCAATCGAGAGAGATAGAAAAAGGAGTAGGGAGATTGAAGGAAGGGAGAAGGAGAGAGAGAGGAACAAAAGAAAGGGAAGAGGAGAGGAAGAAAGGAAAGGGGAATAAGAGTAGGAGGGAAGGTTAGATAGGAGGGAGGAAAGGAGGAGGGGGAGAAAGGAAGGGGAAGTAGAGAAGGAATAGGAGAGGAGGGAAGAAGAAGGTAGGAAGGACAAAAGAAGGGAGGGAGAGGAAGAGAAAGAGAAGAAAGATTGCTGTAAAACAAAAAAGATGAAATGGAAGAAAGGCATCCCCGAACACGTTTAAATATATTAAGATAAAGATTGAATTAATAAAAAAATAAAATTAAGGAGAATGTATATGATTAAGAATAGAAAAAATAGAATTTGAGGGCAAAAGAAAATACTGTTTAGAAAAATAAGAATAGAAAAATTAAGATTTGATTAACAAATATGGAAAAAGAACACTTTGGCAGAAACTGTAACTAAGTAAAATATATTTGGATATTATGAATTATATATGATATGATATGATATAATATGGTCAATACTCTATTTCAAAAAATATGTGGGTGCGTATGGGGGGGGGAACCAATAAAACTTGTCAAAAAAAAAAGAAAAGAAAAACAGATTGCGACATTTAGTGATACCAGAATGAATGAGAATGGTGACTGCTGTGTGTATCTATTTAGGAGAAGATAATTTGTTTCGAAAACACAACATATCCAGGGAGGAGAAGATAATTGCAAAGAACATAATCAAAGAGAGCAACGCTAAGAGAAAATTCAGAGCAATTATAAAATAAAAATTGCTTTGCAAAGTGGGCGGAAAAGGCTAAATAAGGAACATTCACCAGAAAGAATAGAATTCAAAATAAAAGTGATGAAATAATTTGGGATGAAATTGAAAGCGAGACAGTCCTGGAAAGACTATTTGAGAGATTAATATGGTGATAATGATGTTAAAGAGCACAATGGAAAAGAATACCATAAATATTCAACAAACATATTGAAAAGGACAGCATAAATGCTGTGGATATGTTAAAAATGGCAAAATTGCAGTAATAGGAATTATAAATGAAATAACATTAGAATAATGGATGTAATTTTTTAAAGAAGCTGCTATGTAATTTGTTTAATGAAGCCTGCATCTGTGCTGGACTACTGGAAGAAGGCCATTACTGGTAACAGAGAAAAGTAATAAAAGTATATGGAAGACTAGACAGGGATTACTTTGTTAAATGTAGCTGGGAAAGTATTAAGTAGAATTATCTTTGAAAAGTACAAGTTATAACAGCAATCACATTTAGGAAGTGCAGTCCAGCTTTATACCGGGCGATGAGCATACGGATCAAATTTTGCTTTTCAGTTGCCCATTGAGAAACATATGAATGTAATAAAATTTATTTACTGGTTAACTTAGTGAAAGTGTATAATTAAATAAATGGGCTTGACTTATCAACTGTTTTCCACAAATAAGGAGATAAAAGTTGGTTGCTGAATGAGATTTAAAGTGGTATTAGATGAAAACAAAGCATGCATAAGATTACATGGAATGCTTAGCAAATGGTTCAGTGTTGAGCAAGAAACAAGAAACAGATCTGTAGCACGTTCTTAGTTGTTTAATGATTTGTGTATAAATGTATAAGGAATGCTTGTGGTGATATTTGTGATATGCTCACCCGGGAATGTAAAAGTGTGTATAGGTGTTCTGTCCCAGCTACGGACCACATAGAACGCAGCACACACAAAGTCCGTACAAACCTTAGTTTACTAATTAAGGACTACTAATGAGTTTTCTTAGTAGTTTTTCAAACACAAGTACAGTTTAAATCAGTCTTTTCTGAACAAAGGCTGTTAATTTAACTTCATTAACAGCTGACAAGAGTCCAAGGAATAATAACTCAATTCTGAGGCACAGTCTTTCAGATAACCTTAAGCTTACTGTGGTTGGCAGAATGCCCAGAAGCAATTTGCAGGAAAAATGACAAGAGAAAAGCAAGAGACGATCAGACGTTTCTGGAGTCAATACGCGAAGAAATATGAACGAAGTTGTTTTCTGCAAATTGCCTCAGTTGTCGTCATTCCTTAAACAGGCTAGGGGAGTGGCCAATTAGCCCCAAGCCTTACTCTCGAGGAGATCTCCTTCTAAGGAGCCACTCCTGCCTTTTGGCAGCTCTGCGCGCCCGTGCATTGAGAAGAGGCTCCTCCTCTTCTTCCTCTTCACTTATGGGAGCTTCTGGAGGTTCTGAAGGCCCTGGCTTTTTCCTTATCTTTGCTTTACAATTTCTTACTCCTTTTCTGTGATTTGCATAGCATGGCTCCAAAGGAAAATAGCATGATGGGTACGTATTGATAATCAAGTAGTATGCAGAAAGGGCCACTTTGAGAGATTATATGTCCTATCAAAAGTCATAAAAAAGCCTTAGTAAGACCATACCTAGAATACTTCGGACAATACCTGTATGACAAAATCGCTCAGATCCGGGGGGATTTAGACTCTGACTGGGTAGATCAGGGCAGGGTGACGAGGAACAGTCTTGAGAATGTTATCTGGGAGGAGTTTGATGCTGTGACTCCCGATGATGTGGACAGGATTTTGGGGAGACTTAGTGCGGCCACATGTTTACTGGACCCGTGTCCCTCCTGGTTGGTACTGGCTTCCCGGGAGGTTACACGAGGCTGGCTCCAGGGCGTTATTAATGCTTCCTTGAGTGAGGGTCACTTCCCCGCTGCCCTGAAAGAGGCGGTGGTGAGGCCTCTCCTCAAGAAGCCGTCCCTGGACCCAGCAATATTGGCTAACTATCGTCCTGTCTCCAACCTTCGCTTCATTGCGAAGGTTGTTGAGAGTGTGGTCGCGCAACAGTTTCCACAATTCCTGGAGGAAACATCCTATCTGGATCCGTTCCAGTCAGGTTTCAGGTCTGGGCACAGCACGGAAACGGCATTGGTCGCGCTGGTTGATGATCTCTGGAGGGCTCGGGACAGGGGTTATTCCTCTGTTCTGGTCCTATTAGATCTCTCAGCGGCTTTTGATACCATCGACCATGGTATCATGCTGCACCGGCTGGAAGAGTTGGGGGTGGGAGGCACCGTGTTACGGTGGTTCTCCTCCTTTCTCTCCGACCGGTCGCAGTTTGTGTTGGCAGGGGGGCAGAGGTCGACCTCGAGGCCTCTCATTTGTGGAGTGCCGCAGGGATCGGTCCTCTCGCCCCTTCTGTTCAACATTTATGTGAAGCCGCTGGGCGAGATCATCCGTGGCTTTGGGGTGAGATACCACCAGTACGCTGATGACACCCAGCTGTACATCTCCACCCCAGGCCACCCCAACGATGCCCTTGAAGTGATGTCCCAGTGCCTGGAGGCTGTGCGGATCTGGATGGGGAGGAACAGGCTCAGGCTCAACCCTTCCAAGACTGAGTGGCTGTGGCTCCCGGCATCCCGATATAGTCAGTTGACTCCATCACTGACTATTGGGGGCGAGTCTTTGGCCCCCACTGAAAGGGCTCGCAATCTGGGAGTCCTCCTGGATAGGCAGCTGTCTTTGGAGGAACATCTGACGGCTGTTACCAGGGGGACCTTTTATCAGGTTCGCCTGATTCGCCAGTTGCGGCCCTTTCTTGATCGGGATTCCCTGTGCACAGTCACTCATGCCCTCGTCACCTCTCACCTTGACTACTGTAACGCTCTCTACATGGGGCTCCCCTTGAAGAGCACCCGGAGGCTCCAGCTGGTCCAGAATGCAGCAGCGCGGGTAGTGATGGGAGCAACATGGCGCTCCCATGTAACACCACTCCTGCGCGAGCTGCACTGGCTCCCGGTGGTCTTCCGGGTGCGCTTCAAGGTGTTGGTTATCACCTTTAAAGCGCTCCATGGCATAGGGCCTAGCTATCTCCGAGACCGCCTACTGCTACCGATGACCTCCCATCGACCCGTGCGCTCCCACAGAGAGGGCCTCCTCAGGGTGCCATCAGCCAAACAATGTAGGCTGGTGGCCCCCAGGGGGAGGGCTTTCTCTGTGGGGGCTCCCACCCTCTGGAATCAGTTGCCCCCGGAGATAAGAAGAATCCAGGACCTCAATGCCTTCCGTCGTTCCCTGAAAACCTATCTTTTCCAGCAAGCCGGGTTGGCTTAAGAAGAAATTTTAAAACTTTTAAATCCTTTTAATTAGTCTGTGATTTTTAATTTTTTGGGCCAAATTTTATATATATTTTTAAATGTTTTAATATTTGTATTCTATGTTTTTTATCTTGGCTGTACACCGCCCTGAGTCCTCAGGGAGAAGGGCGGTATATAAATTCGAAATTAAATTAAATTAAATTAAATTAAATACTGCATCCAGTTTTTGTCACCACACTATAAAAAAGATGTTGAGACTCTAGAAAAAGTGCAGAGAAGAGCAACCAAGATGATTAGGGGACTGGAGACTGGGCATTTAAGGTATACGGTACCTGTTTCTCCAGCTTGGTCTCCCTTCTCGCCTTTTTCTCCCTTTAGGCCCCGCTCACCTGAAAATAGAAGAAAAAAGTATCATGTAGAAAATTATAAACTTAGAAATCAGTATCAGGACCATATAGCTCTCAGACATTTTGATGCCCAATGATAAGCCGCTTAAAAAGTGCTCTTGGTGGGCCCCCATTAATTGCAATGAGGCTGTTGTGGAAGAACTGTGCTAGATTAATTAGACATGTCAGTCTCCTAACCTGCTGTCCTTATTGATATATTGAAAACAAAATTGCTAAGTTAATAACCCATTTGTTACCCTAATTGCATCCATTTATTTATGTTCGACATACATAGTTGGATAAAAAGCTAAAAAATTAAATCTTGTCAAATTTTCTGTCCTGCAGGGCTCAGTTGCAGCTTATTTACTAGGGCCAACAAACAGTAAACGATTTGGACGTGTCCCATAATGGCACCCCAAATTCATCAGTCCAGTTGCCTCTGACCCATGAATGACATGTCACATCATTAATCGGGGTATAATTGCTTCATTCGAAAGCCATCAATTATGTGAATGATCAAGAATGCTGCACACTTCCTCTGAAACACTGTACCGGATCCATGTCCAATTCACAGAACGGATCTTGATCTTTAAAAGCACTAAAGGTAGTGTCACCTATTTGTTTCATTTATTATTGTTGGTTGCACAGGCAGCAGTATATTTAGACTGGAACAGACATTTTTGCCCAGCTACTGAGTCCTTCCCAAGGATCTGGGATAGGCAGGTGTTGTATAACTGTTATCTTATACCTGCTTGACAAAATAAATAGATAAAGTTATTTTAAATAAATAAAGTATTGTCACAGGATGTAAGCTGTTCCAAGGAAAGCTGCCTTATGCAATTGACTGAGGGTGATTTTGTCAATGTCGATAATGCTCAGGTGGTGCTCCAGGTGTTTTGAGAGTGCATCCAAGTGCCTATCACCATTCTAGTCTTCCTTATCAATTATGATTATAAGGGTGACTATGCTGAAACAGAAAAATGCTATGCACAACTGCCAAGGTTAATTTTTTTTCTCTCTCTCTCTCTGTAGTACTCTGTCAGTGCATACCTTAAGCCTGGAGAAGACTTCTGCATCATTGCATGTCAGGGAACGTATGATGTATGAATCTGTCATTCAGAGACAGTTGCATAGCTGTTGCATTTATATTTAAACCCTCTAGCTGCTCCCTTTTGTCATTTGAATGTGCCGCCCACCTCCCAGCAGGAAGTCAGATCAATCAATCAGCATGCAGGATGCGAATCTCCATACAACTCATAGTTGAGATTTGGGAGGTGTGCACATCAGCCCGTCTGCAACCATCTGCAACCTGCATCAGTCACTCATCAATCAACGTAGGTAGATGTCAACGCCTACATACAGTTGTAGGCAAGTCTAAATCAAGCTTCAGGAATGTGGACAATTACAGATGAAAAGAAAATAAAGTTTAAATTCCTTACAATTATCTGCAAACTGGTACCAGGGTTTTGAAATAAAGAACAATAAAAATAAGCTAGACCAGATAATGAGGATGAATGGGTGGAGTGTCTTCTTCTAGGCTTGGCAGGAGATGCCGTTGGAGTGACAGGGCATGGAGCATAAGGGAGGCTGGCTGGAAGAGCCAAGAGTCAGAGCATCTTTGGCCAAGGACAGAGATGCTATTCAGCAGGTCCTGACAGGTTCTGGAGAACCAGTAGTATCCTTCCCCCAGGAGTGGGGAGGAATGGGGATTTTGCAGTATCCTTCCCCTGCCACGCCCACCAAGCCACGCTCACTAAGCCACACCACGTCCACCAAGCCACACCCACAAAACCGGTAGTAAAAAAATTTGAATTCCACCACTGGCCAAGGAATAAAACTAGGAAGGAACCTGTGGCAGCTGAAGCCAAAGAAGGAACCTGCAAGATGAGCAGAAATGAAAATTTGCCTCTGCCCTGGAATATAGATTGTGGCAAAGCAAGAGATTCAGGGCTGGATAACTTTGCAGGTGTGTGTTACGGAGAGAAGTTGTTAGCATTATGTACTGAAGATAAGTGTGGGAGAAGGTACAAACAAGCAGCTAAGTATTTTGTATTATAAAGTAAAAATTTACATCTTTTAGTTAAGATCTGTTCGCAAATTGCATTGTTTGGTTTATTATGCATATATTTATGCCAGATCACGATAGATAGATAGATAGATAGATAGATAGATAGATAGATAGATAGATAGATAGATAGATATAGATATAGATATAAATGCGTGGTCCTAAAATTCGTGTAAATACACCATGTACTAATCTTATGAAGCAATAAACAGATTTTATATACTTGTCAGCTGCATATGTGAGTCTGGCCTCATCCTTATCCATTCCCACCCTCCAACATTATTTCTGTTGTTTTGTTATTAATAGAATAGAATAGAATAGAATAGAATAGAATAGAATAGAATAGAATAGAATAGAATAGAATAGAATAGAATAGAATTTTTTTATTGGCCAAGTGTGATTGGACACACAAGGAATTTGTCTTGGTGCATATGCTCTCGGAATACATAAAAGAAAAGATACGTTCATCAAGAATCATAAGGTACAACACTTAATGATAGTCATAGGGTACAAATAAGCAATCAGGAAACAATATCAGTATAAATCGTAAGGATAGAAGCAACAAAGTTACAGTCATATAAGTGGAAGGAGATGGGTGGTGGGAACGATGAGAAGATTAATAGTGGTGCAGACTTAGTAAATAGTTTGACAGTGTTGAGGGAATTATTTGTTTAGCAGAGTGATGGCATTCGGCAAAAAACTGTTCTTGTGTCTAGTTGTTCTGGTGTGCAGTGCTCTATAGCGTCGTTTTGAGGGTAGGAATTGAAACACTTTATGTCCAGGATTGAGGGGTCCATAAATATTTTCACAGCCCTCTTTTTGACTCGTGTAGTATACAGGTCCTCAATGGAAGATTTAAGGCCACCTTAAACCTGATTTCAGAACAAATCTGGGTGACTTACATTAAAAATAAAACAGAAAACAATAAAAAGAAACGCCTATGGATCCATATAAACATAATCCTGAACAAAATTTATAAGCAGCCTAAACCAGGCCCAGGGAAAACTGCCAAAATGTTAAGTACTTCCAGAAAACCATCAGGGTGAAAGTGAAACAGATTGGGGAAGGCGGGTGGGTAGGGATATCAACCTTTATTTTAAACTAAAAGTTTCTGTGTAGAGTTGATGTCTTCCAAATGGGTTGACACTTCTCAAAATTCCTACATCCCAACACAGATCTATTTGAATGCTGGAAGGCCAGCACATTTCTAGCAATAGCTCCAATGTCAAACTGCTGTTATTCACTTGGCAAGAAACACATTTTTAGTGGGCATGTTTATACCATGTGGGAAAGGGGTTTTTTATATTCAGTTTTGAATATTTAGTACAACTAAAAAGCATAGCTAATTTCATATCCAGTCATAAGAGAATCAGATCTTAGCTGATGTTGAATGTGCCTGCTTGCTTGCATGCAGGAAATCAAACTATTGCACTATCATTTAGGCATACATGCACACACACAAACACACAGATTCATACATACATGTCAATGGTGGAATTCAAAATTTTTTACTACCGGTTCTGTGGATGTGGCTTGGTGGGCATGGCAAGGCTTGGTGGGCGTGGCAGGGGAAGGATACTGTAAAATCTCCATCCCCCCCCCCACTTCAGGGGAAGGTTACTGCAAAATCCCCATTTCCTCCTGATCAGCTGAGACTCGGGAGGCAGAGACTAGATGGGGGCGGGGCCAGTCAGAGGTGGTATTTACCGGTTCTCCGAACTACTCAAAATTTCCGCTACCGGTTCTCCAGAACTGGTCAGAACCTGCTGAATACCACCTCTGATACACGTATAGAGAATGAATTGGAACTCTCTAAAGTCAACTAAAAGACCCCATTTTAATGTAGGACATACTATATGCCATGTTGGACCCCTTTAGATAAGTATAGAAAATGACTAGACCCTTGAGAAGGCAAATAGGTTGCCTCTATATGCACATACATGAATGATTTGCATATTCTGGACAATCTCACAAAAGTCACAACCATTCAAAAAAGATCCTATTATTGGAAGGAAAATGGATAAAAATTGCTCAGATTTTGTCTCCCACAATCCCAATTCTCTGTTTGGTTTTCTGTTTTTCAACAGGTGGGCTGTGGGATCCATGGTTTAGAAATCAATAGGCACTTTTATCGCATAGCATATCAACTTTCCATTTTATTTTTTTAACTAAAAAAAAAAAGCCTTTTTAAAGCATTTTTTATCGACTGGCGGCCCCCAGGGGGAGAGCCTTCTCTGTGGGGGCACCTACTATCTGGAATGAGCTCCCCCCGGAGATACGGAGGATCCCGGATCTATGCACCTTCCGCCGTGCTCTCAAGACCTTTTTACTCCATCAGGCTGGCCTGGCCTAACTGTTTCCCTTTTTTCCATTTTTAAAATGTAAATTTTAATTCATTTTTAATTTATTGGGGTGTTTTAAATCTGTCTTCAGCCAAATTGTTTAATTCGATTTTATTCAGTTTTAAATTTTGTATTTATGTTTTTTATCCTGTGGCTGTTCACCGCCCTGAGTCCTTCGGGAGTAGGACGGTATACAAATCAAATAAAATTAAACTAAACATTATTTTCCCTTCAAATGCTGGAGACCGTTGTTTTCACCAGGTCTGCTTTTAAGATAGACCATGGCTGGGCATAATGCAAATAACAATGATATTATTTTATTCATGGGACGTTGCCAAAAGATACATGCTATCAATAGAAGCACAGAAGCTGAATCCTTGCCATTTTCTAGTGTCTGGAGGAATTAACTCAAGCATTATGAAATTGACCAGATGGGGTTGTCTGACTAGATCAGGTTGTACAGTTTAAGACAGAACTGGCAAAGCACCAAAAGAAGGTTGGAAGGGAGGCAAAAAAAACCCCCCACCCTTCAATTTCTGCATCTCCTAAAGTGTCTAGAAAAAACTTGATTTTTTTCGCTTTAAAAATAACCCTCT